TATTATGTTTGTCAAGAGTGATACTAGAAATTCAAATCTTTCCAAAAATCTAATAATTTTGGTTTTGATTCATAGAGTTTTTAGAAAAGCAGCATGCCTTCCTTTTTATCATCCAATCGACTTTGCTATTCCTTATACTCAATATTTTCAAAGTAGTAACAATTTTTAAAATAGGTTTTATCATGATTTGTTTTTATAAATAACATTTTATTATATCTACTGATATTCTAGTTTACATAATCATGTGTTTTTTAGATACGTGCTTGCAAAAAATCAATTATTTACAAAAAAGAAGGTACCACATCATTTGTACAACTTTCTTTCAAAATTCTGTTTTTTTTGTTTTTTTTGAACCATTTCAGAATTATGTTACTCTGGCAAATAAACCCTTTGCATATTACCTCAATGGTCTTAATTTTTTTTTTATATATAATTGTAAGCATAATTAACTACAAATTATTTAACTCCATTGTATCCAACAAATTTGGAGATTTTATGCATTTGTATTTCTTGCACATCTTCAAAACAGATTTCTCATGAAGATGGTACAGTCTTGAATTGCATGAAATATCTATTAATACTAAAACGAAACAGAACATTTCTTCTTTATTTGTATCACTTTTAAGAGTAGTAGTATGATTTCATATTTTTAAGAAAAAAAATTGTTTTTTCATAAAGAAGAAAAATTGTTGAAGACAGCTAGGTTCAGTTATAATGAGATGCTTGCTGTTTAGATACGTGACAAAAAAAAAGGTTAGATACATGTCTCGAAGATTCTATATGCTTTGATGCATTGTAATAATTCCAAACATTACTGGTGTCTTAACCTTTCTAAATTTAAAGTTCTAAATCGTTATGCATCGTGTATCAAATTTACGTTTTTATAAAAGAATTAGGCAAGATTAAATCTTATAGTTTCTTAATTTTATGAAAAATGTTGTTTTAGAAAGTCATGAATAAATACACAACGCCTTAGCCGGTAGAGAGAAAAAAAAAGCGAATCCTTCTTTGCCTCTCCGGTGTTTGGTGATTTCTGTCGACAATGTAAAAAGGCAGCTCCTATTGTTTTATGCTTTTCTGTGTTAGAATTTGTCTTCGTTTTCGTTTGGTTCAAGTTTTTTCGATGAGAAAAAAAGCAAGAGCTTCAACTTTGTTCCGGTGATGGTTTTTCTTTGATGGCTTCGTCTCCAAATTTGTCCTACGGAAATGTGGTTAGGTGGAGGAGCGTCTCCAGTTTTCGGTTAATTCGAAATCAGATCTTATACTTTGAAAAGGGTGCAGTTCAGTTTCGATGGATGTACAACATTGGGGAGGAGCAGATGTTTATCGCCGTTCATCTCTTGGAGTCATAGATCATAGCAGTTTTTGAGTGGACTTGCAAATCTGTGCTCTCATGACTTCAATACATTAGGAGTTTTTTTTTACCAAAAAAGATCTTAAATCCTTAAAAGAGAAAGCTTTTCTATTCAATTTCATCAGTCTTAGATATTATTCATCTCTTGGAATACCTTTTTGTCTTAAATCTTGTGTTATTTTTTTTTGTTAGGTTATATAGTATCAGTTTTTGTTCCCCGATGTTTCGGGTTTAGGCTTGCGGGATTTCCATTCAATTGTTATATCTCCAGAAAAAAATGTATCTCAGATCTGTATTTCTCTATGTATCCTGTTGTTGAAAGTTTTATTAATATCATATGAAGAAAAAAGCTATAAATAAATAGAATTTTCATAGTTTGAAAAGTTCTTTAGAGCATCTTCCATGATACATTATTTTGAATAAAACATCAATTCTGGGGAAATACTATCCAATGGTATTTTATTTACAACTCTAAAATAGAGTTACTAATAATATTACTTCAAATATAATGTAATACTAAGTGTTTGGAGTAAAAATTCTGTTTTATTTACTTCAAATATAATGTAGTTATTTAATAGATATTTATGCAATTAGTATCTTTCAAAACAGGAACTGGTTATGCAGTTATCCATTCGTATTTCACAATGATGAAAGACTCTACATTATATTTTTGTTTCCAGTTTCTATTTATGTGGTGTTATATAAAGTTTTAAAAGAATAAAAATACTAAAATAGGTTGGAAAAAAACATCTAAAACTGAACTTTAGTGTTAAAAATGAAAACTAATATATTCGTTTGTTTTTAATTAGATTTTTTCTCATTTACTCTTCTCGTTGTTTCTCTTTGTCGTAGTTTGTAAAAAACTAAAAGAGAGAAAAACTTGTATTCAGATCTTGTTGATCATTGAAGATGACTCCATCACGTGTCAATTTCATTTCATGTTTTTAATCAATCTTTCTCTCTGAAATACGGAATTAAGATCAAAATCCTAACAAATTTTACAAGACGTTCGATTAAAAGCAAAAAACAAAACTAATGGATTTCATAACAAATGCTGTTTTGGGATTTAAAAAAAATAGAAAGAACTATACGCTGAATATCAAAGATTTTTGATTAAATTTGTTTCTTATAACATCAATCAAATTCTCTTGAACAATATCTATTTCGTGGACGTGGTCCAACCATGATTTGACAGAGAAACAACAACGGTGATGAACTGATGATGATATCATCTTCAACACCATGATGCTGATGATGACTATACCGATGATATACTGTATATATATTTTATATATCCATTATGGTAACCTTCAAATCATAGTAGGGCCATGGGGTTCCCCGTGAAAGATATCACCGTACCCACAAAATTCAATATCAGCATATTTTGGCGTAATATGACAGTTAATTACACCTTACGTCCTTATTGAATATTGGCACTAGTAACCTTTTTTTTCTTTTCAGTAACTACTAAAAATAGTAAATTATTTTTTCATTTACTATAAAAAGTAAATTAATGTTTCCTGCAAGAAACAAAAGGTTATTTTTATTTTATTATAATTTGAACCCTCGTAGATTAATTAAGGGATGTGACGATAGTTTTTAAAGCGTCTAATAATCATATCGCGTAGTTACAATGACCCCAAGAAAATCAACAAGTTCAGGTTAGTGGCAGATATTTAGGGTTAGGGTTTTGCTCAGCACTATTAGTTACACACATGACACATCCCATAGGTTTATACACAAACACGTAGATACGTAAGTGTATGCATATATGTATTTATGTACAGGTGAAATGTGTATCCATAAGAAAAAAGGGTTGAGAGAATAAAGGAGAAAAGGTGAGGTTGCAAGACGTCATTGAAGAGGGAGACAAACTACAATCTCTCACTCTCTCTCTCTCCCTTGCTTTACGTCACCTCTGTCTACTGTTGAAAGATTTGTTATTTTGTTTTGCCTTTTTCATATTATATACTTATTTCATAAAGCATAATTATATTCCAATATATTTGGTAATAAAATAAAATATGGATACATACTATTAAAAATATATTTGACAAATAACTTTGTGGAAAAGCCCTGCACTTGAATTTGTATTATTTTCTGTTCTTTTCCTTACGATTTTCTTCTCTTCGATTTTAATGATTTGCTTTCACATATATTTTATTTAAAATTTATTTACAATTTGAAAGATATGCTTTTAGATGATGAAACGTGAAGTATTTTTATTTTATTTTTTATATATAAGATAAAATACAGCTTAAGCAAAGATAATTGTAAAATGATAATTGAGAATTTTGTGTTCTCAACCCCACGATGGTTATAAGCAAAAAGAATCACAAGTAGTCGACGACCAAAAAGAAATGAACTAATAGTCATTAGTCATGTAAAGTTGTAAACATATGAAGCTCCTCTTAGGTTTGACTGAGATTCAAAAGCAATTTGGTAAAAAAATTTGAAGTGGAATACTAATTTTAATTATTATTATATATATACACTCTTAGTGCACAGCCACAACTCCAAGTTAGGACATGATAGAAACGACATAAGATAAGAGATTGATTGGTAACTACAAACGTCAAATAGATATTCTCCTTGTTCCCCTCTTATGCCAAACATTTAAACAATAATGGCTTACATTTGGACCACCCAACCTTACCTATTCTTTCATTCCTATATGCTTTCATTTCACAAATTATTTTTGACTAATTTTATACCTTTGAATCTCTCATTGGTATCACATGTAAAAGAATAATTTTATACCTTTCAGTCTATTTTCTTTATTTGAAGTTGCATATTAAACACAAGTCATTTTGAGTTATTGCCATTATGATAAACACCTCATGCACATTCATAATTTTCACAGTTTAACTTGATTAGTAATTTATCTCGTAAATCTCGGTAACAAAATGTAATTTCACAATTGGGTTTTCTAAATTAAAGCCTTAAAAGGTCAAAAGACCAAAGAAAAAATCGGTTTAGTAGCAATCGGATCACTCGGTTTGCATTTGTTGTTTAGGCCCAAATGAATGTCATTTATATTTATAGGCCTTGCACCTTAGGCCCAAATATTTATTTTCATAGTAATGTTTCAAAAATCAAAACGTGTTTATGTGTTCCAATCATTGATTAATTTTGTTATTTTGTTTTTATTACATCCCAATCATAGACTAATATAACAAATTTTGTTTGAAGAAGCAACATTTGACAAAAGATTCTTCATACTGCCCTAACGGACAAATAATCTTTTATTGAAAACGAAACAAAACCAACTAATAACAAATAATTAGGTAAACTATCTATAAGATCATTAAAAAATGAGATATACGTGCGATTCCCTGTAATACAAAATGAAAGTCAAAGTGGTACCCACTAAATTGTTATGTTGTCTTTCTTTTTTCTTCTCTTAATTTTTTCATTTTCGATGTATTATTAGATTATTATGAAAATTTTATATTTATAATATCCAAATTTGAAATCATCATAAACTCAGAGAACTCAGAAAAACCAGAGTCTTTGCGTAAGCATTTATTGATCGGAGCCATTAAAGCTTTATATTTCTCGTGATTTTGAGCTGATTAAAATTTAAAAAGATCCGAAACGGTTACTTATTTCTCGATTCTTTTGGTATTTTCTTGTTCGAGTCAGGATGAGTCAACTCGGCGATTTGCTCAGAGAATCATCGGCGGATGGAACCGGAAGTGGGAGAACGATGATGTTGAGTTTGCTCGAGGACGATCAAATCGACGGTGAAGATCGAGCGATGAGCAAGTGGACAACGTTGAAACGACGGCTGAGATTTGATTGGGTTGCCTGTTGCGGTGGTCCCACTTTGCGTCTCAGAGAATCGGAAGCGCCAATCGCCGAGGAAGATGACAATGACGACGAGGAGGAGTACTCGGGTCAAAATCGGGTCGTTGACTCGTCGGATTCGGTTCCGGGTCCGGGTTTGGTTACGGAGCCGGATTGTTTGACACGTGGCACAAGGAACCTCGCGGAGGCTCTTGCGGAGGAGAGACTAGCGCGTGGTGAACACGTGACGGAGACTCAAGTTGCTAAAGTACCGTTGATGAAGTTGCTGGCGGAAACGGACGGTTGCGATTCGACGACGTGGTTAGGTTGTGATTCGGTGTGTTGCGTGTGTATGGGAAGGGAGAAAGGCGCGGCTTTTATCCCATGTGGACATACGTATTGTAGAGTTTGTTCAAGAGAGATCTTGATGAACCGTGGGACTTGTCCTCTTTGTAACCGTTCGATCTTTGACGTTCTCGATCTTTACTGAGAACAAAATTCATGGATTGATCTGATCGACGGTGATGATTTGTTCAATTTCTATGTGTAGAAAACCATAAGGTTCCATCACCAAATTTGATCATCCTTTTGCTTAGTAGTAACTACAATATAAATGTTGACGAATTCATTATTGAATATTCAGTATATAAATTGGACAAGGCCTATTTTTTACTTGCTGTCTGTTATTGGGCCTGGGCAAATATATTGCCCACTAATGTTGAGATTGTTTCAGAGATAAAATGTTGACGAATTCATTATGGAATATTCAGTATATAAATTGGACAAGGCCTGCTTTTACGTACTATCTGTTATTGGGCCTGAGCAGATATATTGCCCACTAATGTTGAGATAGTTTCACATAGTCACACATTTATACTTATCAATGATTTGAGCTGTTTATAAATCTTCTTGAGCAAATATATAGATTCAAGATAACAATGTATATATAAAATTTTGAATAAAATTTATGATAACAAAAATTAATTGATATAAGACTTCACAAACTTCATTTTACCAATGTTTAAAAATTTACAAAAAGTCAATAAGCTATATTCGTTTAAAATATGTTGTTGTGTATGCATAAAGTTTAAAAGTTATCTCATGGAGAAAAAATATTTGAATTTCTGGAATTAAAACAAAATAAGTCCCACCAATTAACGCTACGAAAATATAATAAAAGACCATATATGGTTATAACTCAATTTTGGTTAATTTACTCAATTTTGTTTCAAAGATTTATTTATTTTTTTACATTGTTTTAAAGATTTATATGTGTGCCAACAATTCCATATAACAAGTAAATAAAACAGCCGTTAGAGATAACAGAAATTTATGTCTGAGGTCGGTCTTCAAAAAAAAAAAAAAAAAAACTAAAGCCGCTTAATTAACTCAAATTTATTGATAACATTGAAATGTCCGTTAGAAAAAATTATCTTTTGTCCTCATAATTGGTATTTTTTAAGATTTTAAAAGTAAAAAAAGACTTGGCTATCTCTGATGCATACGCATGAGTTTCTGATGTTAACGTTACATGAAAATCACACGCAGATATGTAGGAATCTAGGCTACGTGAATGCAAATATGTGTTATCAGTGGGTTACTAAGCTTAAATCACATCATGACTTCATGAGGCATTATCATTATCTGGCCAAGCTTCAACAATATTCTAAAGCGCAGTTGCGTAAACCACAATACTGTATATTGATGGAAAATTGAAGTATTGTCAATAGTCGAATATCTCTATCATATGTATAACAAACATTCCATTTTGATTTTATTCTCTTCTTGAAGAAACACGGGAATGTGTACGTATAAATCCGGTTAAAGTACTTATGCTCCATATCAATTTATTTCAACATGGAGAAACATTTTATATAGGAGAAATAATATGCCAAAACTTTTGGTGGATTCAAAATCAAATTCTGAATTTCAGACATTTTATGTGCGATCATGACGGAGAGTTATTGATATTATATATCTTACGTAACTTATTTGGATTCATTAATAAGTGGTACCGATAAATTGACAAATCATATGAGCCATCCATATTGTTGACGATTAATCTGTTCGTTTCTTTATTTCTTGTAACCAGTTTTTGACACATAAAAGTAAGTGTAAATCGTTAGTCATCTCATAAAATGTGTTTCAACATATACATGCTATAGTAAAATGTTTTCTTGGTCAAACGTTTTTCAAATATTGACGTTTAAAACTATAATGATCTTTTATATATAGAGAGGTAACTCTATAGATATGTCAAAAGTGGGTGCTGTATTATTTGTGGCTACTGAGAGGAGATGTGTTATAGATGTGACCCAGGTAAGATATATATAGTGTATCGTGTATGTATGTATGTATGTATGTATAGATGAGAACAAGGCATGTGCATCAAGTTCCAAATTAAAGTTGAGATAATGTCGTCCATGTGCATGAACCCATCTCTCATTTATAGTTAACCAATTTGGCACAAACCTTAAATTTGTCCCCTCTCATCGACCAAACACATTTAACGAAACACACCTTTCCTAAAATGGCAATCTTATCATCCCCATTCGACTATATTTAACTTATTAATTTCCATTTTCTCATGTTTATACATTCATCAAGAGTCAAGACGACCAAAGAAAGTGGGTTGATTCAAATAAAGTTGTGTTAAGAGTCTTAAGACATTAATTTATTCCAAATAAAATTTGGGTTAAGATTTTTGTTTTTTTTTTAAACTGAACTGTTACAACTATTTTTAAAAATGTTCCAAAAACAACATCGGACATCCCAGTTTTGTAAACTCCGGGAAGGAAAAGTAGAAACAATAAGCAAGCAAAAATTACAAAATTAGAGTTTCTTGAAGCAGTAGTGCGAATTCGTGAAGTGAGAAATATATACCACCGCCACATAAACTCTATTAAAAGAAATACGTTTTTTTATGAGTAGTGGAGCTAGATGGCAAAGATACATGTCAAAACGAGAGATAATCATGATTTAAGGTTTTGATTAAAGAAATTTCAGGTATGTTCCTTTGATTTGTTTCTATTTTTTTTTTTTAACGTCAAACTCATTTGTAGAGCCAAGAGAGAATGAAAAGAGTTGTAAACTCCGAATAGATCATATAGCTAAACGAGCATCGATAAATAAGTATATGTAATTATTATATTGATGATGAAAATATCGATTAATTATTTTTCTTGCTGTAATTGTTTCTTAAAGATCGGATTTGGGATCAAAATCATAACAATGAGAGACGAGGACCAATTTCTGCAGTAAAATGTAAGCTGCTCATTGATTTTTTTTTTTTTTTTAAAACACAACATAAACATTGATTTAACCTAGTTTACAATGATCTATTTTAGTCTAGTGGCAAGAGACTAATATGATCATCCGAATTTCGGTTAAAGAAACTTAATTGCCAAAGTTTGCAAACTTTGTTGATAACTTAGTATCTAACAGAGATATGTCTGCTTGAAAGTCTAAAATTCGAGTTGTCATGCAGAAGATTTTGGATCTCTCTGATAATTTTTAAATTCAAAGAATTATTCGTAAATAAACAGTATATTAATTGTATAACATTTTATAAATTAATTGACATAAGAATGAGATTAGTACAAAACCAAAACGATGTTGCTGTATCGATGTGCACTGGAATTTTTTAAAATGTTTTGATGCGATGATAAGGTGAAGTCTAAGTAAAATGCCGAGTCGATTAACTTGCCAAAGGCAAAGTTGGTAGACCTAAGATATGATCATTTAGTAGAAACGGGACCGCACAAGTTTTGCCATAAAGAGGAAAGATACGAGACATATTAAAAAATCAATGAAGGGTAGGATTCATAGAATTTAGTCCAAAAGCCAGAAAAAAAATAATATAAAATCGAAAACTTACTATTTTTGAATCCTTGCATGCTTGAAATCATGTCAGATATTACTAAAGTTCCAATAATTTCTATTTTTGTAACTGCAAAATTACCTAACCAATCAAAGTATAACTTTACAGATGGATATGATGATTGATGACAATAAACCCAACTGGTTTATTTTTGTATTGGCAAATTATATAAAACCTAGGTTATGCATCTACAATTTTATTTTCTTCTAACTATATATATATATATATGTTTTATAAGATAATTATGTTAATTACCCATAAGAAATATGAATATTTATATATATTTTTCACGTTTTCATGTTTTAAAAATGTAAAATTTTCTAATATATATCATCAATGATAATAAGCATAGAAAAATAGATTGTAAAATTAATATGGTATTTTTAAAATTAATTCACACATTTTAAATTTATGAATATTTTATATAAAAAAACTATTGATCTAATAAATATTTAATTTATTCACTTTTGGATTTTCTCGTTCTATTAATTTTTTAGTTGATTATTTAATAATTTGATTATTTTGATATTCAGATTACATACTAGTCAAAAAAAAAAAAAAACTAGTAAAACCTTTGTTTGGGTAGTGCTATACAAAATTTTCAATTGCTCTTTCATTAGAGTTCAGTAAATAATATTTTAATTTCTTTATGTTTTGTTCAATATGATAAAATGGCCGCAATAGCAAAGTTAAAAAAGTTGATCGACAATTTCACATTTTGTCTCTGTCATCATTTATCTCAAGCATGCGTTGGTCCATTTTCATTTCTATTATTTTGCAATTATTTTGATTTGTTAACGTTTTAGGACTATCATTATCACACATAACTTTTATAGCAATTAAACAAATAATACGAAATTTTAAAAAGACTGTATATCTTATTAATATTAGTGACTTTGGTGTTATCCCGAGATATCCTCGGATCCCAGTCTCCCTTTTGATTCGGTACTAATCATTTGTCCTTTGGTTCTTTATACAATATTTGCTCTGTAGTCATTTGTCCTTTGGTTCTTTATACAATATTTGCTCTGTAGACAAATTGAGATCTTTAAAAAAGAGGCAAAATTGATGTACACAAAAAGAGGCAAAACTATTGTATGTTAGCTAGAAAATTTTGGATGTTTGGTTTAAAATTTTCTAGGTTTGGAATCATCGTTTAATAATGCTTATGAAAAAAAAATATTACAGTGTTTAGATTATAGCAGAGATGGAGCTATTGTTTTTTCAAATTTGTTTTGGCTGATGCAAATAGATTTACAGTACTCTATATACATTAATAAAATGAATTTTTTAAAATTTATTATTTTATAAAATTATAAAATAATTTATTTAGAAATTGATAATTAATTACTTATAGAGACATTTTTTGTTTAAACTCTTAATGTTCATCAAGAATTAATAAATATAATATTATTTATATTACAAAATTTGTTTAGAAGATGACATATCAATAAATTTGGAAGATAAGTCAAACATATTCATAAATTTGAAATAACAGTAGAATCATATATTACTAGACCACTTTAGTTATATATGTATAGATTTATAATCAATAATTTAATTAATCACTGGTCTTGTAATTAATCGACATTGGTTCAATAATGTGTGTG